GAACTGAATATAAAATTGGTGTAGAGGACAAAAACCTTTTTTAATTTATTTTCTAAAAGTTCCGTTCAAATTCCGCCAGAGGCTGCTTAGAATGCTCTTCAATTATGGTACCGGAACTTTCAAGTTCTTATAACGACTTAAAAATGAGGCTGCTTAGAATTCTATAGACCACCTTCAACCAAGGTGTTTAAGCCATAAATAGCATTTTATCAGAACTTTTGGTTACTTGGGTAACTTTGTCAGTGCTATTTTTCTTCACTCTAGCAAAACGAGCATAACGTTGCACTACATTCCATGTCGGGAGAGCTGTTCTGCTAATCTGCTAATTGAACGAGCTCAATCTTGAAGTCAGCCGTGGCCCAGTGGAATCGAGCGCAGACACCGAAGCATCACACCGCAACAGATCTTGATCGAATCCCAAATCAGCTACAATAAAAAAGGACACAACTGTGAAAGCTCTCCCACTGCCTGATGTTTATTTTTCGATTTATTTTTAGAAATAGATTAAATATATGTGTCAAAAGAAGAAGTAAATTTCATGTGATTTTCACACATATATGATATTGTGGTGAAATGTAAAGCTTATGCTTATGGGTTTCAAATCCATTTCAGTTAATTATTATAATATGACCGATTTTCATTTATCATATGACGATCATTTAAAAGTTACCAAATTATCAGCATTGTGAATGTATCAGATATTCGTATAGAATTTACCTGTCACATTTTCAATCACATCATTTCCATTGGATTATTTTATAGTGCAAATTTATTAGACTTCAACATAACAGGAATATGTCGTATTGGTTCAGTGTACACAACCAACCACTCTTGCTGAACAACATAAATATCAAGTTTTTTTTTCTACAACTAAATAAACAACCTGTACTCAGCTAAGAAACTGTGTTAGCGCTCTTATGGACACATTTTTACAGTCAGCGAGGTTTATATTTAGACGTGTGCAGTTTTACCATAGAGGTAACTCTAAGACCACTGGGTCCCGAAGAAAATCATTATTATTTTTGGCTCACTCAGTACCAGAACAACGGTCCCAAGCAGTCCCAAGCTATTTCACTCACCCCTGCATGTTCTGCATGAATCCACACACCCCGGATGTTATCTGTCAAACTTTCATAGCGAATCAAAACAAACATAGTGTAGTAATAGAATTTCAACTAGAATAGGGTCCGTTAATCGTTTGCTTAGGACCAATAGGCTACTAAAGTGGTGAGCCAATTTAAAATCGTTAGTTTCGTATTGATTGTTGGTTTTACCGCTTTTATCTGCTCCTTTACAAAGCTGAAGTAACTTGTCGAGAAAAGTGATTCATGTGCACTAATATAAAGCCTCTAATCAGCGATTTTGTTGTAGAAAGTCATGAATATTGTTTTACGACAGTTCAAAGTGCTGGCGTAGCGAAGTTGGTAGTGTCAAGGTTTGCCAATGCGGTCGTCTCGAGTTCGATTCCAGGTTCCGGTGCAGGGTAAATAATTTGGTGGTGTGCTTGTAACTAATTTCGATTAATTTGATTCTCACAGCAAAATAAACTCAATCAATTCCTCCAACAAAAAAAAAAAGCGCAAACAATATTTAACCCGGCTTCAAGAGAAAGCTGTATGGTGATCATTGGAGAACCGGGAAAAGGTTGAATTAAGCGCCTTTCAAATTCTAACACAACTGGAACAGCAGGATAACAGCTGTTAGAAGCGTTAATGGAAGTGCAATAAGAGCTGTCGCAACAGCCATAAGTAGCTGACTAAGTTTGCCAAATTTGCTTGTATAGAGGTTGGGTAAAGATTGCCGTATAACGTTTGAATACAACTTGAGGCTGAAATGAGTAAAGCGTTTACATTGTGAAAATTGTTAGTTGGGTAGACAAAGTGACGTAAGTCACACATTTTTGAAGAAACAGTGTTTCTACACAAACGTGACGTCCACCATAAATAAGTGCTGATAGTTAAAGGCTGACATCAAGGTTCATATTTTTATTTTTGTTTAGATCATATTCATTAGATCAAGTCATATTTTTAAAAATTTGCATTGCGAACTCAAACGCATTTTTGACGTAGGACTACGTCTGTGATTTCTATATGGGGGTACACTTTGTGAAAACCGAAAATGGAACATGTAACAAAATTATGAAAGATTTTGAACATTAATAACTCAGCTGCCCCTGGACCAATTTCAATAATTTCATCACTAATCGATCTGAAATATTTTTACGCATCAATAACAATGATGATTTTTAACAAGAAACTATTGAAAAAGTGGTGATGTCAATTTTATCACTGTTTCTTCATGAAATAAACGTTCTTCTCAAACCCAGTCGTCATAATCGAGTACCACTTGGTCATTCTGCTTCAACCTGAAAAGATATAAAAGAGCGCTGCTGTCTAGCCTCAACTCATTTTCGCTTCGGACAGCGTGGTGAGCAGGCAGCAGAAATATCACTAGCAGCAGTAAGAAGGTGGTGGCAGGATAGGCAGTCCACTCTTCTACCTAACAAGGAACAATGACTGGTCGTGGCAAAGAAGAAAAAGGTCTTGGTAAAGAAGGCGCCAAGCGTCATTGCAAGGTTCTTCGTGATAACCGCCATCCGTCGTCTAGTTCACCGTGGCGGTGTCAAACGTATCTCCGGTCTGATCTACGAGGTGTGATCAAGATGTTCCTGGAAAATGAGATCCATGATACTGTCACCTACACTGAACACGCCAAGCGTAAGCGTCCTTGGACATCATTTACGCTTTGAAGAGACAGAGACGCACTCTGTACGGTTTCGGAGGTTAAATATCACCAACTTTGGCTACAAAACAGCTCTTTTCAGGGATTACAGTAAAGAGTTGGAATTGAATTTATCTGTGCCGGTTTGTCCATATTCAGAAACACACACCCCCAACGACCACACAAAATGCTCTCCAGAGTTATAATCTTGTAACCAAACTTGCAAGTAGGAGTGCAAATGATTTTGATCAATTCTCTTCATAAACCTTCTCTTTTTAAAAAATTACTACAAATTTGGTACGCCTGCAATTCAAAAACGGAAAGAGTTAAGATAATAGATGATCGATCAATTAAAAGAACTAAATGCTCTTCACTTCCTGGTCAAACCAAGTGAAATATCTTGGATTAATACTTGACCAAAAATTAACTTTTAAAGATCACATTGTGGGCATTCAAGCCAAATGTAACAAATATATAAAATGTTTGTATCCTCTTATAAACAGGAAATCCAAACTTTGCCTGACGAATAAAATTTCTAATATTTAAACAAGTTTTTAGACCGGCCATGCTTTACGCTGTGCCAATATGGTCTTGTTGTTGCACTACCAGGAAAAAAGCACTTCAAAGGATTCAGAACAAAGTTCTGAAAATGATTTTGAAGTTGCCTCCCTGGTACAGTACTACCGAAGTACATAGAATTTCGAATGTTGAGACTTTAGAACAAATGTCCAACAAAATAATTAATAATTTCAGGCAAAAATCGTTGCAATCCTCAATTGCAACGATTAATTTCCTTTATACTTAGATAACATTTAGTTTTAGTTTTTAGTTTTAAGATTTCAATTGTTATACTGACATGCAGGTTTAAAAAAACCTGTTTAAAATACTGAATTGCCAAGGCAGGAACAATGTAAAAACACTAAGATATATAATCACGGAACACATTTCCATATAAACCAGCGCGGTGTCATCAATGTACCGCGTAGCAACACATCGGACCACGCAACCACTCCAGTTCATCGAACATCAAGCGTCAGCAGAAATTAGAATTATGCAGTGCTAGCAGAAGTAGGGCATAAGTATGGCCGCTGAGGCAAAATTCAAACAGTTCAGTTTTAGCATTAAGTGAAACAAGTGTAATCAAATGATTTAGTTCAATAAAAGTTTTTTTTTATAATTATTATGAGAACCGTCTCGTAATTGGCGCAGCCGTCCGGTCTTTGTTGAAAAGTGCGTGAAAAACAGTGCAAAAATACGGATTCGTAAATCCGAATTAAAGTAGGCCCGCGAGTAACACAGTGAGAAGTGAAAACATCCGATTTCATCCGAGTGGTGGTTGGAGTAGAGGCTTCGCCGCACGTTACCAGACAACAGAGGAACCCGCGACACACGACAGCAACCAAGGTGAGTACCTCTTTTGTGTTCTCATCGCACGACAAATTAAAATCGATTTGTACGTTATACCCGTTCTGAGAGAGAGGTGTACCGTAAAAATCAGTTCAACTTGTCGTAAGGAATAAGGCCGTTCTTAGAGAAGCTTTTTTCTAACCAGAATTAGCAAAGTTCTTAGAGAATTGCTATTTTGGAAGATTCAGACGAGTTCTAAGAGAACGTCTGATTCTAAATAATAAAACACCCCCTGAATGCCAAAATTCAAACGTGAGATTAGTGCTTTGAAAAGAGCAAGAAAACTATTCTCCAGATCAGAATCTTCTGATTCAGAAGAGAGCGATTCTTCCCACGAATCAGGAGAGCATTCTCACATACCAATTAAGTTTCCATTACCCTTAATTGAAAACCTCGAAACATCTTCAGAAATGGAGCAAATAACTCACCAGCTCGCTAGCATTATGCAGCAGCTAAAAGAGTTGAATGAAAATCAAAACCGTCAGCAGCGAGTGATCGACAACTTGCAAAACGTAGCACCTGCGGTAGCACCCGCAGAACAGCAAAATCATACTGGTGTGAATCTGGAGCACCTATATAAAATTTCAGACCCTATTAAATTCTTACCTGTATTTGAGGGTAATAGGAAACAGTTGTCAGCATGGCTGACAACAGCCGAAAATACCTTAAATTTGTTTAAGGATCGCGTTAATGATACCCTTTTCAATATGTACGTCACCGCGGTGACAAACAAAATTCAAGGCAAAGCGAAAGACATGATTTGCCTTGCTGGTAGCCCGCAAGACTTTAATGCCATAAAAGAAATTCTGACGAATGCACTCGGGGACAGACAAGAGCTGTCCACGTACAAATGTCAACTTTGGCAGAACCATATGAGTGACGGAATGTCTGTCCAAAAATATTACCAAAGGACGAAAGACCTAGTCCAAAACATAAAAAAAACGCTGGCAAAGCAAAAAGAAATTTACAAGAATAGCTGGCAAGCTATTAATGAGTTTATCGATGAAGATTGCTTAGCTGCATTTATCGCCGGCTTAAGAGAACCATATTTTGGGAACGCTCAGGCCGCGCGGCCAAACGACATCGAAGATGCCTACGCATTCCTCTGCAAATTCAAATCCAAAGAGCTAACCGCAGCATGTATGTCTGATAAATTGCCTTTAAGATAACTCAGCTACCAAAATAAACAAAAATTTAAAAACCAAAATCAACAGAATTCAACATTCTCAGAAAAGACTTTTAAAAGGAATTCTGAAAATTCCGAAAAACCAGAATTTAAATCTTCAACAACACCTATGGAAATCGATCCCTCAATCAGAAGTCGATTGACACTCAATAAAAAACTCATAAATAACCAAGAATTGGACTCTGAACATGATTCAGAATCAGAAAACGAATCAGAACAAGAGGTTGCAGTAAATTTTCAAATGAAAATCAATACACAAAACTAAACATGGATTTTCTCCCTTATCTTGAAGTGAAACACCCAAAAACAAACAAAATTATCAAACTTTTGATCGACTCAAGCGCAAATAAAAATATTATTTCCCCAGGTTTACTCACTCGTCCAAAACCCATAAGTACTTCTATCACAAATGTTTCTGGAAATCATACAATTGAAAATAAGGGAAAACTAAAAAAATTTAAGCACCTCCCTCCATTATCATTTTATGAATTTAAATTTCATAAATTTTTTGACGGTATATGAGGCGCAGAAACACTTGCAAGATTTAAGTCAAAACTTAATTTTGAAGCCGAAACACTACTATTAAACAGAGAAAACATTAAATTTGTAAAATTCTTCCCTTCTAAAACACCTGAATACCATCACACAGTAACTTTGAAAACATTAAATAATGGTGACTGGTTTGTCCCCGAATTTCAAAATTTGAATAGCAACTCCTTTGTGAAACCGGGTTTATACAGAGCAGAGAATTTTAAAACTACTATTAACATTTTAAGTACTGAACAGAAACCACCAGAATTTTCGAGTCTCCAACTCACAATAAATAATTTCGAGACAATTGACCCTATCCCCATGGAATCAACACATAAATTGAATTACGAGGAAGGATCAATTAAAAGAACTAAATGCTCTTCACTTCCTGGTCAAACCAAGTGAAATATCTTGGATTAATACTTGACCAAAAATTAACTTTTAAAGATCACATTGTGGGCATTCAAGCCAAATGTAACAAATATATAAAATGTTTGTATCCTCTTATAAACAGGAAATCCAAACTTTGCCTGACGAATAAAATTTCTAATATTTAAACAAGTTTTTAGACCGGCCATGCTTTACGCTGTGCCAATATGGTCTTGTTGTTGCACTACCAGGAAAAAAGCACTTCAAAGGATTCAGAACAAAGTTCTGAAAATGATTTTGAAGTTGCCTCCCTGGTACAGTACTACCGAAGTACATAGAATTTCGAATGTTGAGACTTTAGAACAAATGTCCAACAAAATAATTAATAATTTCAGGCAAAAATCGTTGCAATCCTCAATTGCAACGATTAATTTCCTTTATACTTAGATAACATTTAGTTTTAGTTTTTAGTTTTAAGATTTCAATTGTTATACTGACATGCAGGTTTAAAAAAACCTGTTTAAAATACTGAATTGCCAAGGCAGGAACAATGTAAAAACACTAAGATATATAATCACGGAACACATTTCCATATAAACCAGCGCGGTGTCATCAATGTACCGCGTAGCAACACATCGGACCACGCAACCACTCCAGTTCATCGAACATCAAGCGTCAGCAGAAATTAGAATTATGCAGTGCTAGCAGAAGTAGGGCATAAGTATGGCCGCTGAGGCAAAATTCAAACAGTTCAGTTTTAGCATTAAGTGAAACAAGTGTAATCAAATGATTTAGTTCAATAAAAGTTTTTTTTTATAATTATTATGAGAACCGTCTCGTAATTGGCGCAGCCGTCCGGTCTTTGTTGAAAAGTGCGTGAAAAACAGTGCAAAAATACGGATTCGTAAATCCGAATTAAAGTAGGCCCGCGAGTAACACAGTGAGAAGTGAAAACATCCGATTTCATCCGAGTGGTGGTTGGAGTAGAGGCTTCGCCGCACGTTACCAGACAACAGAGGAACCCGCGACACACGACAGCAACCAAGGTGAGTACCTCTTTTGTGTTCTCATCGCACGACAAATTAAAATCGATTTGTACGTTATACCCGTTCTGAGAGAGAGGTGTACCGTAAAAATCAGTTCAACTTGTCGTAAGGAATAAGGCCGTTCTTAGAGAAGCTTTTTTCTAACCAGAATTAGCAAAGTTCTTAGAGAATTGCTATTTTGGAAGATTCAGACGAGTTCTAAGAGAACGTCTGATTCTAAATAATAAAACACCCCCTGAATGCCAAAATTCAAACGTGAGATTAGTGCTTTGAAAAGAGCAAGAAAACTATTCTCCAGATCAGAATCTTCTGATTCAGAAGAGAGCGATTCTTCCCACGAATCAGGAGAGCATTCTCACATACCAATTAAGTTTCCATTACCCTTAATTGAAAACCTCGAAACATCTTCAGAAATGGAGCAAATAACTCACCAGCTCGCTAGCATTATGCAGCAGCTAAAAGAGTTGAATGAAAATCAAAACCGTCAGCAGCGAGTGATCGACAACTTGCAAAACGTAGCACCTGCGGTAGCACCCGCAGAACAGCAAAATCATACTGGTGTGAATCTGGAGCACCTATATAAAATTTCAGACCCTATTAAATTCTTACCTGTATTTGAGGGTAATAGGAAACAGTTGTCAGCATGGCTGACAACAGCCGAAAATACCTTAAATTTGTTTAAGGATCGCGTTAATGATACCCTTTTCAATATGTACGTCACCGCGGTGACAAACAAAATTCAAGGCAAAGCGAAAGACATGATTTGCCTTGCTGGTAGCCCGCAAGACTTTAATGCCATAAAAGAAATTCTGACGAATGCACTCGGGGACAGACAAGAGCTGTCCACGTACAAATGTCAACTTTGGCAGAACCATATGAGTGACGGAATGTCTGTCCAAAAATATTACCAAAGGACGAAAGACCTAGTCCAAAACATAAAAAAAACGCTGGCAAAGCAAAAAGAAATTTACAAGAATAGCTGGCAAGCTATTAATGAGTTTATCGATGAAGATTGCTTAGCTGCATTTATCGCCGGCTTAAGAGAACCATATTTTGGGAACGCTCAGGCCGCGCGGCCAAACGACATCGAAGATGCCTACGCATTCCTCTGCAAATTCAAATCCAAAGAGCTAACCGCAGCATGTATGTCTGATAAATTGCCTTTAAGATAACTCAGCTACCAAAATAAACAAAAATTTAAAAACCAAAATCAACAGAATTCAACATTCTCAGAAAAGACTTTTAAAAGGAATTCTGAAAATTCCGAAAAACCAGAATTTAAATCTTCAACAACACCTATGGAAATCGATCCCTCAATCAGAAGTCGATTGACACTCAATAAAAAACTCATAAATAACCAAGAATTGGACTCTGAACATGATTCAGAATCAGAAAACGAATCAGAACAAGAGGTTGCAGTAAATTTTCAAATGAAAATCAATACACAAAACTAAACATGGATTTTCTCCCTTATCTTGAAGTGAAACACCCAAAAACAAACAAAATTATCAAACTTTTGATCGACTCAAGCGCAAATAAAAATATTATTTCCCCAGGTTTACTCACTCGTCCAAAACCCATAAGTACTTCTATCACAAATGTTTCTGGAAATCATACAATTGAAAATAAGGGAAAACTAAAAAAATTTAAGCACCTCCCTCCATTATCATTTTATGAATTTAAATTTCATAAATTTTTTGACGGTATATGAGGCGCAGAAACACTTGCAAGATTTAAGTCAAAACTTAATTTTGAAGCCGAAACACTACTATTAAACAGAGAAAACATTAAATTTGTAAAATTCTTCCCTTCTAAAACACCTGAATACCATCACACAGTAACTTTGAAAACATTAAATAATGGTGACTGGTTTGTCCCCGAATTTCAAAATTTGAATAGCAACTCCTTTGTGAAACCGGGTTTATACAGAGCAGAGAATTTTAAAACTACTATTAACATTTTAAGTACTGAACAGAAACCACCAGAATTTTCGAGTCTCCAACTCACAATAAATAATTTCGAGACAATTGACCCTATCCCCATGGAATCAACACATAAATTGAATTACGAGGAAATAGGCGAACTCATCAGGACTGATCATCTACCTTCATTAGAAAAATCAAAACTTATTGATCTGATTTTAAAAAACAAACAAGTTTTATTGCGCAAAGGAGAAAAATTATCTTCGACCACTGCTATAAAACATAAAATTATAACCGACAATGATGCTCCGGTTTACACCAAAAGTTATCGTTATCCACACCATTTTAGAAAGGACGTTGAAGAACAGATCCGAGAAATGTTAGATAACGGTATAATTTCCCATTCTACTAGCCCATACTCCTCGCCGATATGGGTAGTACCAAAAAAGCCAGATGCCTCTGGTAAACGTAAAATACGTGTTGTTATCGACTACAGGAAACTGAACGAAAAGACGGTAGACGATAAATACCCAATGCCACAAATAGAAGACATCCTCGATCACCTTGGAAAGTCTGTTTATTTCACTACGCTGGACCTTAAATCTGGATTCCACCAGATCCAAAACACAGGGAAAAGACAGCATTCTCCACTGATAAGGGCCATTTGGAATTCACACGAATGCCCTTTGGTCTGAAAAATGCCCCCGCCACCTTTCAGAGGGCAATGAACAATATACTTGGGGATTACATAGGCACAATTTGCTATGTATATCTTGACGATAGTGTTATCGTTGGACGAAACTTGAATGAACACTTAAAAAATCTAGCTCTTATTTTGACGAGACTTTCAGAATTTAACTTAAAAATTCAATTAGACAAGTGTGAATTTTTAAGAAAGGAAGCTGAATTCCTTGGTCATATTATCTCTGAAAATGGCGTAAAGCCAAACCTCGAGAAAATAGAAAAAAAAAATTAAATTGGCCGATTCCAAAAACGGAAAAAGAGATAAAACAGTTTCTTGGATTAGCTACTACCGTCGTTTCATTAAAGATTTTTCAAAAATTACTAGATATATGACGAAGTATTTAAAAAAGGATACTACCTTAAACCTTCAAGATCCACAATACATAAATGCATTTAATTCATTAAAAAACATCATTTCAACCGATCAGGTACTAGCATACCCACAATTTGACAAACCGTTCATTTTAACAACGGCCCAACAAACAATTCAAAGTCACAAATAAGCATACACATTGAATAAATGCTGTATAACAGTGTACAATGCTAAATAAAACAGGATGTCGAATTATGTGCTGAAAAAAGATCATTGAGATCGGTAGATGCGCCTTTATTCCGCCGTTTGCTCTGATTTGATTAATTTCCTTATTAAAAGC